AACCATTTTCTATATGTTTATATAGTGGTACAAGTAGTCAGACAGTTAAGCATGTATCTTTAGGGGTCTGTTCAATGTCTATGTACATTTTCATAAGTGTATATAGGCCAGGATTTCTACAAGAGCACTATTTTAGTTATGAATACCATACAGAACAGAACCTGCCAATCATGGGCCAGAAATGTGCAACCCTGGCTGGGTTGAGGTCATAGGAGCCCTTGGCTGACCATCTCCCTTCCTGTACGAGAGTGTGGGGGCCATAAACATCCAAGGAGACCCTCGGAAGTCCCACGTTATCCTCAGGGCACTCTCACGTGGCAGACCTGTGCCACCAGCCTTATGTCACCAGAACTCAGGTCTTCATGGACTACCTCCAAGTCAGCCTCAGAACATAGCTCTCTGTGTGAGGAAATTCTCCACAGAGAGGGCTAGCTTTAGTTCTGTTGGTATCTGAGTTGCTCAGACTCGTGGCTGATTCAAAGGATGTGTTTTTCTTTTGATGGAAAGAGTGGCCATCTTTCCACTAAGATTCAGATCCCTGTTATCACGGCTGTTTTGGTGGAAAGGCCCTGGTGATTGGTGTGCACTAAGGGGCCCTGGAATGGGCAGTGAAGGGCTTCCAGGTGTGTTATACCCCAAGCTTGCCAGCGAGATGGAGGGCCCAATGCCTGGACAATTAGATTATATAGACTATACGTGTATCTAAGTGTGTCAGATTGTGTGTGCTCCCCAGTGTTGAGTGTGTAGTTATTTGTATATGTACATTGTCTTGTTATAGAATCATGGATATAATACTCATGGATTTATTTCTCTGTTACTTACTTTGGAAATATATATGTTGCATGTATTTTTGAGTATATACAGCTCTAGAAATAATGGTCATAGTAAATTCCTCCCTTCTGCAGTATCAGATTATCCCATATAGCTCCACAGTTAAAGGAACCACTGTCTGTTCTGTAGACCAATAGGAGTACATACACAGTTATGTACACTTCCTCCGCAGTTTGTTCAGAACATGTACACATTTACAGATGTGTGTGTAATGTGTATTTGTCTAAGAGTTTTAACTTTTGTTGTGGATACGATATGGGTTTCCACCTGTCAATGTAGAAGCAAGGGACTTCTGGAAAGATTAATGGCCTGGGGACTGGGGATGACCCATGGCCTTGCTCCTGTCTTCCTGCTATGTCCATGGGCAACATACATGTGCACACACGTCCAACAGTTTTTCCAAGTGTCTTGGCCTAGGATTAGTGGGTCCTAAAATAGACAGTCTCCTTATGCATCCACCTTGGCTTTCAGACCAGACATCCAGCCTGTGACCTGGTGAGGGGTATCTTTCACATGGGGGTGTTGTCAGTAAAGGGTGTTGTCAGCCATGGGTCCTGAGCGCCTCAGGTGTGGGAGGCGTACAGCATGTGGACTCCAGGTGTTTCCAAGAGAGTCAGTGAGCTGGCCCTGCAGTTCTCCTGGGCAGTATCTCTAGGACATGCTGCTTTGGCCAGAGCTGGCTTTCCCAGAGTGTGTAGCCTTCAGGCCTGTGCCATTTCCTGGTCTCTGAGAAGTCCCCAAACAACCCCATTTTGGTTGCACTGTGACAGGACCATCCCTCCAGCCTCATGCCATCTGACCTGGTGCCTAGGTTTACTACCTACAAGGTAACCTCCCCAGAAACACAGATTAGGGGGAGAGGCCAGGCTTCACCTACCCTTGTTGACCCGGGAGTCTTTAAGTGCCACAAGTTTTCAAAATGTGGGTTTTCTTTCTGGAAAAGAGTGGCCAACAATCCACTGATGTTGAGGTCCCTGGTTTCAGGGCTGATGCACTGACACGTCCATGGTGATTGGTGTCATCCCAAGGTCAATGGAACTATCAGCAAGGATCTCTCTGGGTGTTTCTGACCCCCATGCTTTCCAGCACAGAAGAGGAGGGCTCAGTGGCCCCTCTGTGAAGAGCTTGAGTGTGTCTGTCCAATTCTGTATGAGCTCTTTGGGGCTGTGAATATTAGTTTTGTAAGCCCAATGTGTTGTGAACGTCAGGTATGTGGATGTTACAGATTGGTTTCTATCTGTATTTATTTCTAGGATACATGTTTTATGTATTTGTGGTGTGCACATTTGTAAATTAAAGGTTGTCCTGACTTCCTCCTTCCTTTGAGAGGGAAGCATCCCAGAAGGAAGGATGCAGCTTTACAAGTAAAAAACAACTTTCTTTTTCTTTTTTAAAAAAAGATTTGTTTATTTGAAAGGCAGCACTAGAGAGAGGAGAGAGAGATAGAGAGAGAGAGAGAGTGAGAGAGAAAGAGAGAGAGAAATCTTCATCCACCGTTTCACTCCCATGGTGGCTGCAACAGCCGGGGCTGGACCAGGTAGAAGCCAGGAGCCAGGAGTTTCATCCAGGTCTTCCACGAGGGTGTAGGAGCCCAAGCACTTGGGACATTGTCTGCTGCTTTCCCAGGCACATTAACAGGGAGCTACATCAGAAGTGGAGCAGGGGCTAATGCTGTGGCATAGTGGTTAAAGTCACCTCTTTTTTTTTTTTTTTTTTTTTTTTTTTTTTTTTTTTTTTAATTTTTTGACAGGCAGAGTGGACAGTGAGAGAGAGAGACAGAGAGAAAGGTCTTCCTTTTGCCGTTGGTTCACCCTCCAATGGCCGCCGCGGACGGCGCGCTGCGGCCGGTGCACCGCGCTGATCCGATGGCAGGAGCCAGGAGCCAGGTGCTTTTCCTGGTCTCCCATGGGTGCAGGGCCCAAGCACCTGGGCCATCCTCCACTGCACTCCCTGGCCACAGCAGAGGGCTGGCCTGGAAGAGGGGCAACCGGGACAGAATCCGGCGCCCCGACCGGGACTAGAACTCGGTGTGCTGGCGCCGCTAGGCGGAGGATTAGCCTAGTGAGCCGCGGCGCCGGCCTAAAGTCACCTCTTATAGTACCTGCATCCCATATAGGTGCCAGTTCAAGACCTGGCTGCTTCACTTCCGATCCAGCTTCCTACTATGGCCTGGGAAAACAATGGAAGATGGCCCAAGATGGAAGATTCTCTCTCTCTCTCACTCTCACTCTCTCTCTTTCTCTCTTTGCCTATGCCTATACCTATGCCTATGCCTCTCTGAACTCTGCCTTTCAAATAAATAAATATATTTAAAAGTGGAGCAGCTGGGACTTGACTGGCACCCTTATGGGATGCCGGCACTGCAGGCGCAACTTTACCCACTATACCATAGTGCAGGGCCCCACAATATTATTTTCAAAGCATAGAGGTATTTATAAAGTTATATGTGTCTTTAAACATTCATTCAGTACTTTCACACATTTCCTTAAATACATCAAGGGAGGAATGTGCCCCAAAAGGTTACTTTTGCTACATATCCCTGCAGCACTCAAATTCCCATTAATGAACCAGGAGTCGTCCGGAAATCTCGTTGACATGAGATCCGGGGACTCATGGCTGATCTAGATGCTCACTCTGTCCCTATCTCCTGATCTTAGATGATGCATAGACAGCTCACATCCCTGTGCCCTCCAACAAGGGAGATAACCCACTCACCAGCAGAAGGTCCTTTATTAGACCCATTCTTGTGCTCCTACCTGGTTTTTCATGCTTTATCCTCAGCCTCTGGTGTGGGGGTTTGTTGTCTCCCACATGTCCCATTCGAATAGCCAGTAAACCAGCCACAGGTCTGTAATGCCCCTCCAAGTGTCGCTCCCCCTCTTCATGGAGGAATGACACTAAACCCTGCCTAGGCTTCATATCCGAGTCACGGCACCATTATGTCGCTCCCCCTCTTCGTGGAGGAACGACACAGGACCCTGCACTGTTCTTTCGTCTGCTCGGCCCTCCCCGGGTTTGCTGCTGGTTCTTCCCGGGTTGGCTACCGACCCTTCCACCTCCGTGGAAGGGCGGTTCCCCCTGCCACATTCCCCACTTCCACGGGGGAGCGGCACACCGCCGGCCGGCTCTCTGGGGGCTGCACAGGTGTTCCCCTTAGATGTTCCCCTTAGATGTTCCTGGTGCATGCCGTCTCTCTCATCCTTTATAGTCCTCCTCCGCCAATCCTAACTCGGCTGCCCACACACGAGTACGGCTGCTTCTCCAATCAGGAGCAAGTCCTACAGTTTATTGGCTGAACTGGAGGCAGCTGTGTAGAAGCTGTTTTCTCCTCTCCCAGCGCCATATCGTGGGAGAGCAGATGCATAGAATAAGTCTTAATTCCAGTAACTTAGTCTAGTCCGAGTTGCTCCCCACACCAAGCACATGAGAGGCTTAACAGGAGTGGTTTCCAGGAAGTTACTTCTCTGGCCTCCTGCTCACTGTGTCTGAGGCTGTAGCTCCTGTTCCACCCACTGTTATCCCTTTTAGACTTGCTGCCTCTGAACTATCTGCACCATGCACAAGTGCATCAGGAGGCCAGCCCAGTGCCTCCTCTGCATGCCATGCCTATGTTTCTGAAGTCACAGGTGCACACCATGCCATCCATGAATCCTGCCAACCGGTGCCTGGACGGTTTGGGGAGAGATCACCTGTGCATGCTTGTAGGGTATCAGAGGCTTGAAGAGCTTGTATGATATTAATCTTGTCTTTTGCTAACAAGCGATGCCATGTGTATGTGTTTTGTGTGGGGGGCGGGCTAAGATGCAGCTGTGGGGGTCAGTGTTGTGGCACAGCAGGTTATCCTGCCACTTGCAATGCCGGTATCCCATATGGCCACCAGTTTATGACCGGCTGCTCCACCTCCCACCCAGCACCTTGCTAATGCACTTGGAAAAGCAGTGGAAGATGGCCCAAGTGCCTGGGCCCCTGCACCCACGTGGGAGATTCAGATGAAGCTCCTGGCTTCTGCCTTTGGCCTGACCCAATCCCAGCTGTTATGGCCATTTGGAGAGTGAACCACCAGTAGATGGAGGATCTCTCTCTCTCTCTCTCTCTCTCTCTCTCTCTGTCTCTGCCTTTCAAATAAATAAATAAATCTTGAAAAAGAAAGATGCAGCTGTGTACCTGGCTCAGCCATTCCACCAATGGGTGTCCCTGGACAGTGAGCAGTAGAACATCCCCAGGCTCCAGGGAGCCAGAGTTCATTCATGAACTCCTGGTTTGTGAGTATAAGATCATCATTTTGTTTTCCAAGCCACCCATCCTGTAGTGTGTGTGTATGTGTGTGTGTAAATCTTTAATTGCTCAGGAATTGGATTCATGACATTATATGGATGACAGTTTTTTCCTGTACATTAATTTTTATATATCAGCAAAGAAAATTCAAAGAGTACTTTTGCTTAGAGAGTTTATTTCCAAGGTAGTGCATTTAAGGACAACAAGGGCAAATCAGTAAGGATGATCCTTGGCCATTCTGTGTCAAACACAAGGAATTGTGGTAAGCCAGCTGTTTATGCTTGAACTTGGCAAAACTCATTTCTGCTGGAGTTGTGGACCTAGGTGAACCTGATCTTGCATGTACCTGTTTGATAGTCTAAGGGATTCAAAATGCATAGCACTCACTAAAACTAACTAACTAAAAAACATTTTGGTAACTGAAACCAAATTTTTCTGAAATAAGACTGATGTAAAAGTAAAGTGAAAATTACTAATTCTAAACTCAAATGCCACAAATATAAATAAAAAAAGCTCCTAAATTTTGTGATTCAAAGAAACCAAAAGAAACTAAAACTTAATGATCCTATGAATGAAATGGTGACTGATAAAGACAGGCTAACCAGTCACTCAGAGAAAAGAATTTTGTAGACATCATAGAAAGTAACTGCATAATCTCAGAGATTCTGATACTGACTCTTCATAGAAAGGGATTTTATAAATCTAGATTTGCAAAGTTGGGGGCCATTGTTTCCTTATATAACAGGCCTTCCTATGGAGTAGCAATAATCCAGTAAAGTTGAAAAAGGGGTTTTCAGAGGCGAATATCATATGGAATAATGGTAAATTGCAGAGCCAAGAAATCAGGTGTCATGTTTTTCAGCATTGCACAAAAGCAACTGAGAGAAGCTATGTGAAGTAAGACAAGTCTTTCTGAATCCTATTGCTCATGCAGAATTCCCAAAACCAAATTTTCTATTAAAAGGAACAAAACCAGAATCTTGGTGGCAATATGCCTGTCCCCATATAAAAGTACTAGAGGGAGGAATCAGTAATAAAGAGAGAGAAAGTACTCTCTGATAATGAAAATACTTCCATCTTTGTGTAATTTGTGTTCTCGGCGGGGTAGTTTTCAGGATGAGGGAGACATGGTTGAGACAATGATACCAAGCATGGAAGGACAGGATACTAAGAATCAGGGAAGCTCAGAAATGAATGGGCACACTCAGGAAAGAAGGAGGAAAACAGGAAAAACTAACATCACCCATGAAATGCAAACCAGAAGAAACACAAACAGATCTGTGCCTTTCAGGAAACAGAAGGTGAGAGAGGAAATATACAGAATAGGAGCTTGACCAAATATTTCAGAAGATGAGAGAGGAATACCAGAAGTTGAATACCTGCATGTGTATGAATGAGATTGCTGGAAGAGGAAAAACCAATGCAAGGATCTAAAGCTAATAATTATAATTCAGACTGTTTCCGGAAATGACAATATGCTCTCAAACTCCTCCTTCACAGAAAACTGGGTCATACTTTGAGTGAGTGAAGCCATTTATAGCCTAGTAAAATCTGGAATTATATGAAAAATATTCAGAGATCTAGAATACAGGGATGAGTAACATAGAAGGGAATGAAAATGATCCAGCTGGTCTGGGTTGGGAGGAAAAAGAAGACAATATTTAAGATGCTCAAGAAGAGCCAAGCACTTTGTACCATCCAAGCTGCCATTAGGTGAAAAATAACATTGGCATCCAAGTCTTTGTGAGAGATCTTGGGTGAGATGGACCCCATGATCCCTTCCAGAGGAAGGAACAGACGTGAGACAAAAACCCTAGAAAGTCATTACTGTAAGGACAGATTTTAACAGCCAACCTGGCAGTGACTTTGTTCAGTGAAGACCAAATGAGATTCCTCTCGAGGGAGTGATGATGGAGGTACTCCCTAGGGTGACTGCTGTCTGATTAAGTTCTGCCTTTGCTAAAGGTGTTTTCTTATGATGTATTTATTTTACAGAAAAGCATGTGAAGATCAACTAGTACTAGGTGAAAGAATTTAATATAAAGCTCGCAGAGGACTGGTGAGGAGGGATGTGGCTGATGTTGTGTCTCCTGTGTAGTTCAAGTTTCCGATGGTGTGGGAAACTCCAGCTCCTCTGATTGCCAGGACTCCACACTGCAGACTTCTGAGCAGCTAAAGATGTCTGCAAGAAAGACACAGGAGCAGGGGTCAGTGGGGAGGACAGGGATGAGGCTGGGGTGGGGACAGTGGGGTGGGTGTGCAGCTCTCAGAAGGCTCCTGTGCCCTGGGAGGTAACCGTAGGTCCTGAACTCCACAGCAGTCAGGGCCATGGGGCACTGAGGCCCATCTGGATGGGTGTGGATTGTCCTACAATTGTGAATTCCCCTAGGCACTCACCTGGGCAGCCTTCATGGGACTGGCTACTTTGGCAATGAACCTGATGCACAGGAAGGGGGAGGTCTCTTGGCCCCTGGGATTACAAATCCAAGGCCCACACCCCTGGGTCTTGTGAGGAGCAGGAGGTCTGATGACACAGAATGGGAGTCCTGACCTTGCCCACTCAGTCCTTACCCCACAGGTCTGGGGCCTGTGAGCTGCATGTTAATTATGGACAACTGCACAGAGCCCTTTGGTTTCCTTCCCTAATCTTGTGGAAGTTCTTTCTATCCTCCCTGTAAAAGTCATCTCAGAGATTTTATTGGCAAAGAATCATTCTGTGGCATTAAAACCCCACCATTATTGCTTTAGTATATTTTGGCGTGGAACATGTGATGGAAGACTTTCTTTTGAAGACATACAGCCAATGTGTATTTGTAATTGAAGTATAAATTAGAGCACAAATGAGAAGAACAGAGGGGCTTGGGGCCCTGCTCCTGCTACTCTTCAAAGTGAGCTTTGCCTTGAATTGCTGGCAAGTGTTTGAATTTGTTTTTTAGTTTTTTTTTTGACAGGCAGAGAGAAAGGGGCAGAGAGAAAGGTCTTCCTTTTCCGTTGGTTCACCCCTCAATGGCCGCTGTGGCCGGTGTGCTACGGCTGGCGCACGGCACATATCTGAAGCCAGGAGCCAGGTTCTTCCTCCTGGTCTCCCCCATGCGGGTGCAGGGCCCAAGGACCTGGGCCATCCTCCACTGCACTCCTGGGCCACAGCAGAGAGCTAGACTGGTAGAGGAGCAACCGGGACAGAATCAGGCGCTCCGACTGGGACTAGAACCTGGTGTGCCGGTGCTGCAAGGCGGAGGATTAGCCTAGTGAGCCATGGCACTGGCCCAAATGTTTGAATTTGACAGGTACATAGGAAATTTTACACCCAGAAAAATAAAGCAATCAACATATAAAAAAGGCTCTAAGAAAGGAGGCTGAGGTCCCCAAAAGGCCTGGAGCTCTTGTGTTCTGTACTGGCTCCTATTTGGTGTCAGGATGGGCTGGGTACCCACAAGGATACAAAGGTGAGTGCAGTGGGCTCTTTTCCTGGTGTGAAAAGACACCCAAAGGCACCTCTCTCTGTCTCACCCTCTTCCTAATTGTCCTGAGTTTGAAGAGGTCAGGGACGACCCACAGTGTCTCCCCACACCTGTGAAACTGCCTGTTGACTTTGGGTTGGGCAGGTGGGGATGCACCCTGTAGTGGGAGATGTTCAACAGCTCTGGGGGCTCTCCCCAGAAACAACACAACTAACATCCCCCTCCGAAGTCATTTGCATGCCAATCTTGTTAGCACCTCCAGCCTTTCCTTCAGATGAAAGCAGCTACTGGGGGCTCAGCCTGGGAGCCATGGAATGGGGATGTGTCCCTGGGACCACCTCAGGGTGCATCTTTCACTCACCTGCGTGGATCCTGAACATCCATTCATCACTCTCCAGGTCAGGCTCGATGGCAGCCTCTCCACCTCTGGGCTCCAGTTTGTTGGCTTCCCTGAGGTGTCAAAAGAATGTGAAGCAATGGAGTCCATGTGCCCTTACTTCCCTGACCCCCGTCTACCTGCTCCAAACTCACATTTCCTGATCTTGATCGAGGTCCTCCATGTCCTGTAGACTTTCAGGGTAGTTAACGTCAAGGGAACATGTGGACAGCTGGAAGGAGACAAGTATGTTTCCTGAAACAGGCGTTAAGGAAAAGCCCTGTCCTGGGGGACATGGAGGCCAGAGTCAGACTTCCCTGGAGTCCTCCCTCCTTAGACACTGGGACCCTGCCTGCCTGTCCCCGGCTGAGTTCCCTGTGTGGGCAGTCGGGTTGCTCAGCACCGTTTCATAGTGCAGTCCGGGGGTGAGGAGAGAGGGCAGGGCTGATGAAGGGAGAGGGGAGGGCTGCAGAGAGACTGGATCAGCATCCACAGTGCAAGGACCTCCACTGCCTGGATGCCACCAGGTCCTTCAGGATGCGAATCATCCATTGTGGTGAGGAGGGAACACGGGAGAAGCAGGACCAGGGGCTTGTGAGCAAGAAAGCAAGAGAATCAGAAAAAATAAAAGAGGAATCACTCACCCCTAGATCGCCGCTGCCAAGATAACTTTCAGATTCTGCCAGGTTGCCTTCCGTGTGCACCAGAGCAGAGAGAAGGAAAGGGGAGCGTTAGACTTGAGGTGAGGACTCGGATCCCTGCTGCTGGTTGGATGATGTAGGCCAACCTTGGACCCCATGTCTATACCCTATCCCAGGCCTAGATGGCTTCACCTCTGTAATGAGTGAGAGGATCTGAACTCTGACTTCTTCTTCCAGCCCTCAGATTCCCATCACTGTGCCTAAGAAGTGTCACCTTGTTCCTCCATAGGTAGCCACGGGGTCGATGTATGGAACTCATTGTTTTCCATCCCTCGTGTTTCCCTTCCTCTATTTTGTCTCATAACTCTTGTCCATTTCCTTTGTCCTTGTCATCTTCTACCAATCACATTATTGTCTGATATGGGAGCTCTGGAGGCCAAGATAAAGACATACTGCCACCTGGGGCTGGCATTGTGGTGCAGCAGGTTCAAGCGCCACCTGTGGGGACCCCTCCATGGGATCCCTGGTTGGTGTCCCTGCTCCTCCACTTCTGATCCAGCTCCCTGCTAAAGTGCCTCAGAAAGCAGTGTAGGATGTTTCGTGCTTGGGCCCTGCCAGCTGTTTGGGAGACTCTGATGGAGTTTTGGACTCCTGATTCGGCCTGGCCCAACCTGCTCATTGAGGTTCTATGGGGACTGAGCCAGTGGATAGAAGATTTCACTCTGTTTTTCCCTCTCTGTCTATAATTCTGCCTTTCAAGTAAGTAAATAAATCTTTAAAAAACATATTGCCACGCACAGCAATATATCTATAGATCACTTCTTAGGTGGGAAACAAGTGTCATGGACGCTTGTTGGGCCTTGGGAAAGTAATGAGGACCAACCCCATATGTCTGGGGTTACCTCATGGAGTTTGGAAATATTTAATCATCACAAGAATCCCATGTTTCCTGATCCACTTGAAAAGATGACCCAAAGAGGAGAGGAAATTTAATTTGTTCAAATTCTGGTAGTCAGCCAAGGAGGCAACAGGGTGTCCACAGCAGGTGTATTCTTGGCCATATCAACAAATGGGACTTGCTAGGGTTTTCACTGAGCAGGGGGAGGACTGGGAAGTAGGACATTGGCAGGCCTGAGGACAGGGAACGTGCTAGGCATGACTGGAGGGGGAACAGGCTGTGTTTGAAGCAGTGCATCTGAGGGGAACAGTGATGCCCAGTCCTGCTGCCCAGAGGCCCTCCACTGAGCCCAGTGCATTCCAGCCAATGAGGTCAGCAGGACCGCATGTGTGTTCAGCCCAGGATCCCCTAACACACATCCTCTGGGCAGCCTGTACAGCTATGCAGTGTCTCCAGTAGGATTTGGATAATGGCCTGTCACACAGTCTACTCCAAACACTAGACTTGGATGAGATGTAGAAGCCAAGATGAACCCAGAGTAATGCTTGGCCCTCACAACTCTAAGATGCTAGGGCCTCCCCAGTCAGCCCAGAGCAAGTATTCTTTAACTCAAGTGACCCTGGTTGTGTGTGTGTGTGGGGGTGCTCTTCTTCCTTCTGCCCTGAGCTGAGGATGAAGCAAGGAGCCCTTACTGAGACACAATGGCAGCACCTTGCTCTTTGACCTTCAACCTTGTAAGAAAGAAATTTCTGTTCCTGATTAATTACAGAGTCTCAGGTATTACGTTGTGTCCAGAAATGGACGAAGACAATGGTCAGTGCAAAACCCAGACATCTCTTGTGTTCAATTCGAAGGTAGTGCTGTCCTGTCACAATGCAGTGGATTTGATCTTTGCAATGGAAAATCTGGGGGTGGTCGGTATTAAAGAAAATGTAAAGTTAAAAGTTAAAAATTTCTATTGCTCCAATCCCATGGGCATAAAACCTCTTCCTACTCTATAATTAATATAAAAAAGAACAAATCAGATGTCTACATACAATGTCTTTTTTCCTCCTGAGTTCCTATGTCCTCACAGAGTCCAAAGCAGTGGATAACCCAAGCATTGCCCTAATTTGACCCTCTGGTCTTTGTGGGTGTTGCTCCTACCTGAAGAGGCTTCATTGTCACTGGTATAGTCCGAAACGCTCTGCAAGACCCAATCTTGAGAGACACAAACACAGTAAGTGTTCACAGAGAGTCTCACCCGTTCTGCCCCTGCATTGCTCAGCATGACCCTGCCCCTTCTCTGTGCTCTCAGCCCCTTCCTGGGCTCTGTGGACCTGACCTTCAGGCAGACATTGACCACAGCTTCAAGCCTTCCAGGGAGGGAGAGGAGCTGACGGCACCACCTCTCAACGTCTCACTTTCCCTAGTGCACTGAAATACGGTGCCTCCAGCCTGCATCTGAAACCCCCCACTTTTTTATATACATATTCCTGTAACCATACAGCAACACCTCTGTGATTTTTTTTATAGAGAACTGATAGTGGCTTCAGAGGAACATAACTAGGGTAATACACACAAACTGCCAAACTTGTACACTCAGAACTGTAACACATGGGAACCCACATAGATAAAGCCCACCCCCATGCACAAGCCAGTGTCTTCCAGGGACCCCAGAAAATGATCATTACCCTTTATGAGGAAGTTAATTTCCCACCAGCGCACTCCTAGTCCTCTGTTATAGCAGGAATTGGGCATCAGGTGGCCTTTCACACTAAAGCCCCCAAGATAGTCCCATCTGTGCTGTCATCTGGACTATTCATACTACAGGGAGTAAGTGATTCCCGAATACATACCACTTGCTGTTCGTATTGAGATCACCTGTAATTAGAAAATGGCACCATGAGGGTCTGAACACTCTGTGTCCCTTTGCACCTGTCTTTAATGCCCTTGGTGACACTGGGAAACCCCGTGTGAAAGAGTGGTCCTATGGAGGGAACCCAAAGACGTGAGCAGAGCGATCACACTCAGGCCAGCAGACATGAGCTCTTCATGGGGGACGTGTCTCTCCAGTCCACTGTGGTTGGAAGTCACAAAATTCCTTTCAAAAGAGGAGAAGTGCTGCAGAGAAAAGCTTGCTGTGGTCCAGTCCTGACAGTCATTTTGTCCCTGTGTCCTGCGTCAGCTCTCTGTTGGTATAAACTCTCCCTCTCAGTGGCCCTCACCGTGCACAGGGTGTATCATGGACCCTATCCATGGTCAGATTTTTCTTCTCTTCATCTGGTTGAGAAAGGAAGAAGCCAAGGAAGGAACATTTCTGTTTTAGAGGAAGGCGGGGGCCCTTACCTCAGTGTACTCTGGAGTTTCTTTATCCTCCGTGTCACCAGGAAGCTCCTCCCATGCATCCTCCAGGGGCACTAGATGGACATATGGTGACTGTCAGTACACTGGTGCATCAGGGAGCATTGGTGGACATGGGCATGGGGCAAGGGTTAAGGCCAAGGAGAAGAACCTGAAAGACCTGAGAAGCAGAGCCTTAAGCTTTCTAGCTCAAGGCAGCTTCATTCATGGGAACTATTTGGGGTCAATACCACCACGGTTGCTGCATTTCCGTAAGAGTCCTGGGATGACTCCTGCATGTTTAGAAGCCAAATAAACTGCTACTGTCGTCTTGATGTTTCCCAAGGTCACTACTACTCAGGAGTCAATATCTGTTTATTGTATTTGAATATGTCATCTCTCCTATGAGCTTCTGAACTTAATTAAAAGCAACCGTTATGGGGAGAAGGACTCAGTTGTAGGCAAAGCAACATGTTCATTTATTGCCAATCCCTAGGTACCACACAAGTAAATGAAGAAGATGTAAAAATGGTGAAATTCCACCATTTAAAAATGAGCACCAGGCATTATGGTAAAACTTTTCTCCTGATCTTATTGTTTTTATTACCATTATAAATGGTATCTTTATGGATTATAGCATAAGAATTCATTGTATGCAGACAGTGTGTGATGATCAAATCATGTTGACCTTTCCAGCTCCCTAAATATATTTTAAACTGTTTTCATTTGTATTAAATACTTTTCACATATGTTGGGAGTATGTTTCATATCCAGCTAAGCCATGGAATTGTGACCTAACCATCAGACACATGTGGGGTGAGGGTTGAATGAGCTCACTTACATAAAGTGCAGAAGGTGATCAGGTTCTTTTTGTTTTTGTTTTTTGAGAATTGAACCTTGAGCTGTGCATTTGGGAACACTTTTTCTGTGGGAAATATGTACACATATACACATCCAAGCACTTTCAAAGACATACACGCTCACTCCTAAAAACTCACCATACTGGGGCACAGAAACCCCCACCATGTAAATGACATAGCTATTTCCAGAGCCTGCCTCAGATGCCTGTAGCTATGTGCTAGTCTTTCTGGTTTTTGTTTTACCACACCCTCAATCTTTTCAATCCACCAGGAAGCTGGAATCAGGTTGGCTCTCCAGAAGAGAACCCTCAGGAAGGTCCCAGTGTCTCCTCCCTTCAGTTGTTCCTCAGCACCTGAGGCATTCTAGAATACGTACAGTGTCCACTGGATCCTGAGTCCACCTGCAGTCAGAGAAAGGAAGTCACTGTGAGGTCAGATACTGTTTGCACAGGTCTCTTCTCCTGGTGCTGACCTTGGGAAACTTGATGGGATACAGTGCATGAGGCAAATGCCCCAAATAAAGCACAGAGGATACTTGTGTGAAATACGTGAGCTTTTCACAGCCCATTTTACGTGTTCATTTTGGTTGGGCAAATGCAACATTCATTTGTGAAAATGAAAACCTGGGGGTTGGCCTTGTGGCACACCGGGTTAGGCTGCCCCCTGTGAGGCAAGCATCCCATATCAGAGCACCAAATCAAGTCCAGGCTGCCCTGCTGCTGCCAGTTCCCTGCTCATGTACCTGGGAAGGCAGTGGAGGATGTCCCAAGTATTTGAGTCCCTTCCAACCAGTGGGAGAACCCCCCCCAAGATTGAGTTTCAGGCTCCTGGCTTCCACATGGCCCAGCCCCAGCCATTATAGCCATTTGGGAAGGTAACCAGAGGATTTAAGATCTTTGTCTGTCTGTCTCTCTGTTATTCTGCCTTTCAAATAATGAATAAATCTTTTAAATCATAAAATATTTAAAGTATGCAGAACTGCTCCTGTGGAAAACGCCCAGCACCACATCACTTGTAATTGATTCTGTCCTTTTATGAGACCCTCTTGAGTCATGTCTCACTTTACAACAGACATGCCCTGGGCTTCCCCCACAAATAAATTGTGGAAGTCATCTGCAGTATAGGCGTTCAGATTTTTCATATCTGAGAAAAACGTTGCCTGGGCCTGATGTTGTGACACAGTGAACGGAACTGCTGCCTGCAGTGCCAGCAGTCCATCCTGCAGTGCCAGTTTGCATCCTGGTTGCTCAGCTTCCAATACAATGCCATGCTGTTGTGCCTGGGGAGGCATGGAGAATGTCCCATGTCACTCATGTGGGAGATCTGGATAGTGCACTGGACTCCTGGCTTTGGCCTGGACCAACTCTGGCCTTTGAAGGCATCTGGGGAGTAAACTACTAGATGGAAGATCTTTTGTTCTCTTCCCCTGTCTCTGTGCAACTCTGCCTTTCAAATAAATAAATAAATAAGACTAGTGATTGTATACGAGGAACATTTCTTTCTGTGACCAAAAACCCCAGTCATACCTTGCCAAGAGATGTGACCTCCTCCTCTGCTCTGTCTCTTGGAATCGCTTCCACCAGGTCCTCAGGAGCAGCTAGGAGAACCATGGGGTAACTGTCAGGTGTTGTGGATGAGTTCGGCGGGGAGACTTGCTTGCTGTGGACATGGGCCTAGGCTAGGTGGGGGTGGTTGTGAGCAGTGAACAATGTCAGGAGTTCTGTGCTGCACTCAATAACAGAGCAAGAAAAAGACAAGCCAGTCCTGCACCCACAAGTAGCAGGAAGGCCACGTGATGTGGGCTTGGAACTGCACACGTGCCACTGCTGGGCTATCCTTCCTGGTGGATGACAAAGCCCAAGAAGAGGAGCAGGAAAGAAATGAGAAGGGAGTTTGGCTTTCTTACTACTAGCAACCAAATCATTATGAAATAGTCAATTTAGAAATAGGCAAATGCTATAGTGCACTGATTGATTGATGATGCCCCATCATTGCTCCTTTGCAAAATGGGCATGGAAATGCCCAAAATGTAGACCGTAGAAATCCCTGCTTTTTTCTTGTTGTGTTCCAAGATCATTTACCTCCATGAATCTACATAAGCAGCTATTTCATTTGCTGTCTTTCTTGTCAGGTATTTTTAAATTGCTGTGGGCAAGTAGACATTTATTATCTGAATCACTTGTAAGTGAAAATTTCAGTGGCATGAATTACTTGGCAGTGCTGTGTAAGCACCACCCCTGTGTGCCCCAACAGTTGTCATCATACCCAATCTAAACTCTGCATCTATAAAGGAAGAACTTTACCTTCTCCTCCTTCCATCCCCAACTAATCTGTACTTCCAGTCCCTTTGAATTTGCCTATTGTAGACATGCCATTGTATTAGAAACATACAGTGTTTGTCTTTCTGTGTCTACTTTATTGCAGTGTGTTGTTTTACCATGTCCTTCCATGGTGTGGTATAAAACTTTACTTCATTTTTATATATTAAAACTCTTCCATTGTGTTCATATACCACATTGTCATTACTCATCCGTTTGTTGATTGGCACAGCTCTGGCCATTGCAGCCAAATGGGGGTGTGAACCAACAGAAGGAAGACCTTTCTCTCTGTCTCTCCCTCTCACTCTCTGTAACTCTCTCAAAAAAAGTAAAATAAAATCTTTACAAAAAAAAAGGCCAACTTAGATCTATCAAAAAAGTGAAGCAAGTGTGCAAGCTGCCACCCTGGAATTCCTGCCTGCAGCTGACAGGTGCAGAGAGCACAGCTGCAGTCAGCGTAGCTGAAGCAGGGGTCCTGGAGCCTGTGGCTCACAGCGCACATGCATGGGAGTGTGGATGGGCTCAGAGGCTGAGTGTGCACCTGCTGGAGAACAAACCCAGTGGGGTCCAGTCTCCAGGTCACCCCACTTCTGTATGTTTGTGCTCCACAGGTCCACCAGATTCTCATGGTGAAGGTCAGAGGAGAACCCCTGTGGGCCCAGGAGAGGGGGAAATACCCATTTGGAAATACTCAGGGGAAAGTGAGCACTGTGAAGTATTCCCAGGTGTTCTTCATAGCAAAGTCACATCCTCCAAGGACACCACCAGAACCTTATATGACTGGATAGGGGGCATCCAGACAACTCTAGTCCCCACTAGTTTTAGTAAAATAAATAGGGAGAATAGGAGGCTAGGGAAAGGTGAAAGAGGAAAAGTCAGGGACTCGGGTTGGCTTAAAAAGGAGTTGAAACAAGGGTTGATACAAAACTTTCCTTCCCCTACTCCTCACCACCAGTTCAACAGGGCCTCCATGAAATAATAGTGAATTAAAATGGAGACAGCAGTGAGACAGGTATAATTAGGAGTATGAAGGCAAATATAGAGGCCATTGGAAAAGTAACAGAACAGTGGGAATGGAGGCACAGAAGCCTCAGACTGCTATAATTACAGAAATATTCACACAAAGCTCATCTCTCATCCATAATGACACAAAGTCTCCCACAAAGTGGTGGCCATTTCTCATAATGCTTTAGACACCCTTAAATGCTCCTGTTACACACTGGAATAATGCTACTGATCCCAGGTGCTTGCTAGTGTGCACTCTGCAAGGCAGGATGTGATGGCTCTTGTGGTTGGATTCCTACTAACCCTGTAGGAGGCCTGCACTGAGTTTCCAACTCCCAGTTTCAGCCAGGCCCAGCCTAGTTGAGGGGCATTTTAGGAGTGATGCAGTGAATGGGAGACTCCCTTTATATCTCTCTTTCTGTCTCTGTGTGCATCTTTAAAACAAAAATAAAACCTGGAAAGGGAGTTAATGAAAGGTATGTTTTAGCAAAGGAAAAGAATAAAAGATTAATTTCATGTAGATATAAATCTAAATGTATTGATATCACATTGGCATAGGCAAAGACTTCATATTAAGACCCGGGAAGCACAGGCAATAAAGGCAAAAATAGACATATGAGATTACATCAAGCTAGGAAGCTTCTGCAGAGTAAAGAAACATTCAACAAACTGACACCATGGGCGAAAATGTTTGCAAATGATACTTCTGATAAAGAATTACTATTTACGATATATAAAGAGCTCAAGAAGCTCAACAGCAACAAAACAAGCAACCCAGTTAAGAAATGAGAAAGGATACGACCAAGCATTTTTCAAAAGATGAATTACAGATGGTCCAAAGACACATGAAAAGATGCTCAGCATTGCTAGCTGTCAGTAAATTCAAATAAAAATCACAGTGAGATTTTACCTCCCCCCTGTTAGAATGGTTCTCATCCAAAAATCAAAAAATAAAAAATGCTGTCAAGGACATGGGGAAAATAGTAGCCTAATACTCGGTGGGAAGGTAAACTAGTACAAGCATTGTGGAAGACAGTATGGCAATTTCTCAGAGATCTGAAAATGGATCTACCACAGGTCCCAGCCATTCTACTCCTGGAAATTTACCCAAAGGAATTGAAATCACTATATGAAAGAGTTGTGTGTATCCCTCTGTCGATAGCACTCAGCTCACAGTGGAGTCAACCCAGATGTCCATCAACTGATGATTGGATGAAGAAATTATGGTGTATATATACATGATGGAATGGTACTCAGCCATAAAAAGAATGCAGTCCTGTCTTTCACAAAAATGTAGATGTAACTGCAGACCATCATGCTTAGTGAAATAAACCAGGCCCCAAAAGACAAATATCATGTTTCCCCAAATTTGTGGTAACATACAGAGTACAAAAAAGTAATGAATATGAGTGAAATTGACATTTTGAGATTTGATTAGTGACCTTATTTGGGCATAGAGTCATTGGAGGATTAACCAGTTAATATGAATTCATATTAGAGTAGCAAGGACTTGTTCCCATAAGACTGGCATTTTTACAAGATGAGGAAACAGGTCCAAGATGGAAGGATGCCATGAAATGATGGGAGCAGATTCAGGTGCTTTGGTAGCCACCTAGGAGGCCCAGGATTTCCAGGAAACCAGCAGAAGCTAAGAAGGGACAGGAAAGATTAGTCCTGATGGGTTTCTGTGGGAGGGTGACTATGCATAAACCTAGATTTCTGACACCCAATCTCCAGACCTATGGGAAAATAAAATATCATGTACTTCAAACTGACCACCAACCAGGCACTTGATTATGGCAGCCCGAGAAAATTATTATCCCTCAACTAACTATTTTGATTGGCATGTAGAGACATTTCAGCCATGAGAGAAACACATTCTTCTCAGGTTCATATGAAGAAGTCTCCAAGGCAGATCAAAGTATGAGCTCTGTCACACAACCACTCACTTAAAGTAATGTATGTCACACAGCTTGTGCCACTAGGCAACTATGGTAATACAATAGAGTTCAATCAATGAAGATTACTTGGCAAATTTTGCAAGAACTATGGAAGCTAAATAACATACTGTCCAAAAAAAATGGGTCAAAGAAGACTGTATAGACATTTTAAACTATTTTGAACAAAGCAAATAAAAACCCCAACTTTGGGTAGCAATGAAGCAGTGCTCAGAAGGAAAATGGAGCCCTTGAGTGAAATACTTTCAAAAATGATGATGATCTAAAATCAAGGGATTCTTACAACCTAGAAAAGTAGGTTGTAAGTAGAAAAGCAACCTGATGTAAATTAGATAAAAAATGAAAAAATGGCAATTTTCTCAGAAATGGATCTAACAGGAAATAGGAAATGGACAGAGTAAAACAAAAAATCATGAATTAGTTTTTTGAAAAAATCCATAAGATTGTGAAACCTCCACCTGTCTAAGCACAAGGCAAAAAGAGAAGAAACAATGTCTGGTACTGCAAATGAGAAGGGAATCCTCACCACTGATGGCATGGACAGGAAAAGGAAAAGAAAAAAGTACTTTAAATACTGTATGCCCACAAGTAGGTTCAACGAAGCCTGAAATTCCTTCAGAGTCAGAAACTACCCAAACTAACCCATGGGCCTGAGCCTTTGAAGAGAACTTTACAGCTACAAAAGGCGAAAGAAGGTGTCAGGGCCATGTGGATTCATTGGTGAACTCCAGTCAGTTTTACCAAGAAAAATGTCATCCCCATCCAAGCAAGGGGCCATAGTCCTAGGTGTTTACCCAATTAATTTAAAAAACTTTGTCCCCACAGCACCCTGCCACATGACTGTTTCTGGTGGCTTTCTTCCTGATTGCTTAAATTGGAAACCAGGACCAAGAACATTGGCCCACCTATCCAAGGGGGTATAACTCAGTGATGAAAATCATTGAGCAGTCAAGCCACAAAAAGGAGCAGAAGAATTCTTATGTATGTTACCAAATCTAATTCCAACTCTAGGAAATTGTGAAAAAGAATGACTAAACAGATATTTTTTTTTTTTGACAGGCAGAGTGGACAGTGAGAGAGACAGAGAGAAAGGTCTTCCTTTGCCGTTGGTTCACCCTCCAATGGCCACTGCTGGCCGGCGCACCGTGCTGATCCGATGGCAGGAGCCAGGAGCCAGGTGCTTTTCCTGGTCTCCCATGGGGTGCAGGGCCCAAGCACCTGGGCCATCCTCCACTGCACTCCCTGGCCACAGCAGAGGGCTGGCCTGGAAGAGGGGCAACCAGGACAGAATCCGGCGCCCTGACCGGGACTAGAACCCGGTGTGCCGGCGCCGCTAGGCGGAGGATTAGCCTAGTGAGCCGTGGCACCGGCCGACTAAACAGGTATTTAAAATGACCAGTTCTAGGGTCATGTTCTGGGGTCATTCAAGGGTTCTGGAAACATGGGTAAAGATGAATAACTCCTAGAACTGTTCCACCAGAACCAACCTTAGTACAGACTTGGGAGTTGAGTCAATGATAACATTTCTTTATTGGTTCAGTCTCCATAACAAATGTACCCTACTAATGGAAGTGTCATCAGAAAAAGGGAAGTGGGAGTCCAGTATGAGAACCTTAGGAGCTATCTTTTCAGTTTTCATATTTTATCTCCAGTTGTTAATATTGGTGTGAGATCTGGTGGCACTCTCTCAGTAAGATGTCCATTTCAGCCCATGTTGGACAATTGGCCAAGCATCTGAACAGTAGCTTGAGATGTTACTACTAACAGTGACCCCAAGTTTAAGCTGTTAGCATGTCTTCCCTCTGCACTGGTCACCCTGCTGATTGAGTTGACCAATTCTAATTTTGCAGTCATGGAATGAAAGACACAGATAGCATAGCTTTTTAAGAGTTTTGTCTTAACTATGAGACCCTGAATAAAGTAGAATCCTGATTGTTGAATGAGCTTCATGAATGAATTTGCACAGTACCTTCAACTGATTCCTTTGTTGGGGGCATCCTGTTCTTTGGCAAGACAAAGATTTTTCTGACCTTCAGTGCAGAATGGACAGTCGATGTTCTTGACCTCCGACTTCCTTTTTGTCTAAAACTCTTTAGACAAGATCCTGGAACAGTATGACAATAGACAGCTGTTGACATCCCACCGGCAGAAGACCACAGGGAAGTGTGCAGTTCCTCACTTTCATCCCAGTTTTCCCATTCAATAGTGCAGAGCCATCCTCTAAATCAGAGTTGGATGCTAGGCAGATCTTGCAGTGTGGTGAACATTTCCTACCCAACAGTTTGATAGGGTAGACAAAGACTTTTCTTAAGATGAGAGTACAGGGACTAGTGCTTGAAGGTTCAGACCCTAAAGGGAAGCTGCATGTACCTGGGAAAGTTGCACAGAGTCCCCCGACCCCCATCACCTGTCCTGGTTCCCTGTTATGAGATGTGGAGATACTGATATGGCCTGTGTTGTGTTTGAGCTCAAGAGATTAAAAAGAAGTGGATCTTTATCAAGTCCGGTGCTGCATAATTTTTTAAAAGATTTTTTAATTGTTTATTTGATGGGTAGAGTTACAGACAAAGAGAGAGAGAGAGAGGTCTTCCTTCCATTGGCTTACTCCCCAAATGGCCGCAACGGCCAGAGCTACACCGATCTGAAGCCAGGAGCCAGGTGCCTCCTCCTGGTCTCCCATGGGGGTGCAGGGGCCAAGCACTTGGACCATCCTCCACTGCCTTCCCAGGCCACAGCAGAGAGCTGGACTGGAAGAGGAGCAGCTGGGACTAGAACCTGGTGCCCATATGGGATGCTGGCTCTGCAGGCAGAGGATTAACCTAGTGCACCATGGTGCTGGCCCTGGTGCTGCATAATTGTCTGAAATTCTTCAGTCTTCAAATGCCAGGAAGAATAAGCTGATCACTGGTTGTGACTGAATGCAGGGAGGATACGTGACCACAGAGGAGGACAGGATGGAAATTGCTCTCCCTTCTTCCATGCATAGAAAGTTTTACAGCTCATGGAGAATCTCTCATTCCCATGCTCCCCACACAGCCCCAAGCTATGGGCAGATCTGTGTCTGCTCCATGTTGATTTACTATTAAGCAAATTGAAAATTAGAGACTCTCAGTGAGTTGTCCACATTCTTATAACTGACAAATCATGGATCTGGGACAGTCTCACCATTGGTTCCCTGGGGGACAGAGGACCATGAATGTCTTTACTAGAACCCTGGACTAAGCACCCTCAGTGGCTTTCTGACATCTTCCAGGGCAGGATTTCCTCGGGAACAGTCTTGCTCAGGGCAAAGTTCTGGAGACAAGAGAAATCATGACTCAGATCTCTCCCTCCAGGTTTCTTTTCCTGGCTTAAAATAGGACTCTTTCCTCCAGGACACCCTCTCTGAGGGTCTGGAGAAACCCAAACTTACACCCATCCTGGCCCCGGATATTCACACTGTCACTGGCTCAGCCTTCCCCATGGCCAGGTGACCCCACAGGGCCAGTGGTGTGTTTGGTTTTAAAGCTGGCTCAAAACTCAGGACATTCCACAGCAACTGCCATGTGAGGGTGAGCCAACATCGACTTCTCGGCCATGGCCAATGTTGCATGAACACTGAACAGAAATTCACCCAAAATGGGGCCATTCCATTGTTGTGGTGTTGGGGGATGGGGAATTTGGGAACAGATTGTTGAAGGGAGTTCGTGTGGTTCTCTCAGTACTGAATTGGTTAATACTGGGGAGAGTCATTAGAACACAAGCCCAACCCCTCTCCCTGTCTCTCTTCTGTCACTCTGCTTGCTCTTCTACTTTTCCACGATGATGGGACACAACATGGGACCCTTGATATGGGCACCTGATCTTTGACTCCTAGACTTGAGAATCCTGAACTTGGGTGTCTTCTTCCTTTATAATTTACCCTGTCTCAGATGTATGTTTTAATGCCACAGAAAACTTAATATCTGTCCTTCAGAGAAAGTGGCTGAGCAGTCTCAAATCCCTGTATGACAAAAGGCTGGCTGTACTAGGTCTGTGTGCATCTTCATGCCCATGACCTTTCTCACCAAAACCCAGTCCCTAGGAACTCTTCACCTTTCTCTAGACCCTGCAGGGACAGCATACACAGTTCCCTCTCCCATCGGTGAGGTTCATCCATGGCCAGGCTTGCCCCATCCAATCCATGATGCTGCCTGAGGACCATCAGGCAGGCCCCCTTCTCTCAGTCTTCAGATGTCTGCCCCACTGACCAACGGCACTGTCCCTCCTCCCCGTTTCCCTGTAACCCCAAACGGCAGGGTTCATGTGTTTATCCACCCCACCCTGAAATCCCAGTTTCTTTCCAATGTGACAAAAATATATCTGGGTTCAGACTGTTCTTACAGACTTGGTCTCAGATGGCGACCTCTACAGACAGAAGAGGCTGGCTTGAAAGTGCCTTTTTGTGTGATGTCTGTGTTGTGTTTGGTCTGAAATTTTCCTGGCTTGATGACAGTAGTGTGAGTTTCTTTCCTATCATCATTCTCTGGATAAGGTGTGAACAAACTTGGCATTGGAAATTATGTTTCTAAATTTAGGAAATATTTTGAAACAACAAACTTAACCGAAGCATCAAAAGTAGAAACTGAATAATACGATGACCAAATGTTTTATAAATCTGTAGACAGCCTGGAATGGGGGAAATAACAGTCCATGAGGAGAGTGATTAAGCAGAAGGTAAGTGGCCAATGGAAGAAGCAGCATTGTGGAGGTCAGTGTGGCCTACCTGCTGGACAGCAGTTGAGATTTCCCATCGTGGACCACTCTGGATAGGACGATACGCACGTTCCCACTGCACTCAAGTTTGAACCTTTCAGTTCAAGAGAGTGACAGTTGGAATGGCAGGATGATGTCACTCACCTTGTTACCCTGGCGACAGGACACCATGGAATTTTCAAAGTGAGCCATGCCGCACTGTAGGTGATGCTGTACTGCTGTCTACACACACATTTTTCAGTGTCCAAGCGTGGTCATTTTAGAGTCCAAGTTTTGTTTCCAAAACTGACTGCAAGACCCACACATTCTCATTCCCTCCTTGTGAAGTAAGTTGAGTGACTTAAGAGGATCTGTTTCCAATATAGTTGAGGTAACAGTTTGAATGAGAGGCATGACCTAGCACTGTACAGCATCATGTCATCTGCAAACATGGATATTTGGTTTCGTCTTCTGTGACATTTGAAGCTCACTGTTTCTTCAATTCTGTAATTGCTCATGCTAATACTTTCTAATTTTTAAGATATATTTATTTATTTGAAAGGCAGAGTTACAGAGAGGCAGAGGCAGAAGCAGAAAGAGAGAGAGAGAGAGAGAGAGAGGTCTTCCATCCGCTGGTTCACTCCCCAGATGGGTGCAACTGCCAGAGCTGTGCCGATCGAAGCCAGGAGCCAGGCGCTTCTTCTGGGTCTCCCACGTGGGTACAGGGGCCCAAGGACTTGGGCCATCTTGCACTGCTTTTCCAGGCCATAGCAGAGAGCTGGATCAGAAGAGGAGCATCCAGGACAGAAACTGGCACCCATAAGGGATACTGGCACTACAGGCAGTGGCTTTACTCACTACGCCACAGCACAGCGCCCCCCTGCCCATGCTCATACTTTCAACACTTTATCAAGTATGAGTGGTAAAAATTGGACATCCTTGTCTTGTTCTGGATCTGCTTTCAAGTGTTCTGAATTCAGGATGATCCTGATTGCCAGTTTGTCATATACATACATGCACACACATGTAGCTGTATCATTTTGAGATATGCTGCTTGTAGAACTAATTTGTCGAGGGTTTTTATAGAGATGGGATGCTGAATCATGATTTCTCTGCATCTATCGAGATAATCATATGGTGTTCTTCAGTCTGCTACTGTGACTTATATTTATGGGTTTGTGAATGTTGAACCACACTTGCACCTCTGGGGTAAATGCTAGTTGATCATGGTATATGATCTTTTTGATATAGTCTTGGATTCAGTTTGCTAATCTTTTGTTGAGAATTTCTGCATCTGTGTGTATCAGGAATATTGGTCTATAGTTTACTTTTTATGTTATGTCTTTGTTTGGTTTTGGTATCAGAATAACACTGGCCTCATAAAAAGAATTCAGTAGAATTCTTTCCTTTTCAGCATTTTGGAATAATTTGCAAAGTATTGGAGTTAGTTCCTGTCTAAATGTTCTGTAGAATTCAGTTGTGAAGACATCAGGTCCTGGACCTTTCTTTTACAGGAGACTTTAGGTACTGCTTCAATCGCATTGTTATGGTTTTCTATATCTTCTTGAAGTAATATTGGCAGATAGCGTGCACCCAGGAATTCATCCATCTCTTCAAGGTTTTCTAAGTTGATAGCACAAAGTCATTCACAGGAGTCACTTGTAATTCTTTGTGTTTCTGTGGTATCATTTTTCATCTCTAATTTTATTTATTTTAGGTTTTTTCTCTGTTTTCTTTGTTGGCTAAAAATTTGCCTGTTTTGCTTATTTTTCAAAAACTATCTTTTTCTTTTTTTGATTTTAAGAGTTGTCAGTTTTGTTTGAGTTTCATTAATTTCTGTTCTGATTCTCTTGATTTCTCACCTCCTACTAATTTTGGATATGGTTTTTCTTGCTTTTCCAAGTCTTTAACATGAATATTAGATAATTTATTTGAGATCTTTCCATTTTAAGGGAAGCTTGTTGTTGTAAACCTTCCTCGGAATACTGCATTGGCTGTCCTCAGATTTTGATATGCTTTGTTGATATTCTCATTTGTTTCAAGAATTTTTATTTCTACTTTAATTTCTTCCATGATCCATTAGTCATTCAGTAGCATGTTGTTTAATTTCCATGTATTTACAGATTTTCTATTGTTACAATTAAAATTTTTAAAGATTTATTTATTTATTTGAAAGTCAGAATTACACAGAGGAGAAGCGGCAGGGGGTGGGGTGCTTCCATTCGCTGGTTCACTCACCAATTAGCCACAATAGCTGGAGCTATGCTGATTCGAAGGCAGGATCCAGGAGCTTCCTCCAGGTTTCCCACATGGGTGCAGAGGCCCAAGGACTTGGACCATCTTCTACTGCTTTCCCAGGCTATAGCAGAGAGCTGGATTGGAAGTGGAGCAGCCAGGACTCGAACCAGCTCCCATATGGGATGCTGGCACTGCAGGAGGCAGCTTCACCCGCTACACCACAGCTCCGGCCCGCATATTGATTTCTAAATGTTTTCCTTTGTGGTTTGAAAATATACATGACGTCAATTTACTTTTGTTTACTGAGTCTTGATTTGTGGCCTCATCTGGGGTCTATCCTAGAAAATGTTCCATGTTCTGATGAGTAGAATGTGTACTCTATAATTGTTGGGGAAATGTTGTTTAAAGTCTCCTAGGTCCATTTGCTCTGTGATGTGGTACAACTCTGATTTTTCTTTGATGCGTGTCAGTGGTTGAAGTCTCCTGGTGTTACTGTGGTGGAATCTATCTCTCCCTTTAGGCCTAATAATATTTACGGTATTTGTATGGTCTTGTGTTCCTGTATTTTCATATATGTTATATTATCTTGATGAATTGATCCTTTTATGAATATATGATCTCCTTGTCTCTTTTTTGCAGCTTTTGATTTAAGGTCTATTTTATCTGATACCAGTATGGTTCCTGCAGCTTGTTGCTGGTTTCCATTTACATGATATATCATTTTCCAACCCTTCATTTTCTCTATTTTTTTAAGGAGGTACAGAGAGACAGAGACAGGGAGAAAAGTCTTCCATCTGCTGGTTCACTCCCTGAAAGGCTGCAATGGCCTGAGCTGAGCCAGTCTGAAGCCAAGAGCCAGGAGCTTCTTCTGGGTCTCCCATGCTGGTGCAGGGGCCCAAGGACTTGG